TCTATACGTATATTTTTCATGTAGACTGAATCGCCTAATCGCCTAATCGCCAACTATGAACACTCCATTAAGCAGTATCGGACTCAAACGTTTGATCGCGGTGAAGCACGGACTGAACGTGCATTTATGATGTTTCGCCGTAGTCAGTACAATGCGCGACGCATGACGACCGCCTGAGAGTGTGTCGCTACCTCTTCTCGATTCTTCTGCGCTTTCAATCAGGTAGAGTATGCGACGAGAAAATAGCACTATTGAGCGCCCGTTCATGTAGGGGAAATCAGTGAGGAGCAGTGTGGCATCCGACTTGCAATGCAGGGCGGAGAGCGGACTTTTGGTGCGTCCGGGGTTGCACGCGGCGAATCGCGCGGCGGGCTGCGCGGCGATCCGGACGAGGCAAGTCTTCGCGGGCTTCTGCGGTGGAATCCAACACGTCAGAACGTGTGCAGATCGCGGATAGAATCCACAAGGTTCTGCGATTCGAATTACATTCCAACGCGTGGATATTCAAAGGCAGCGGCAGGAAGAGAAGAAAAGGAATAGCAAAAGGCTGTTATAGCAATCAGGGCGCTTAGGTTGTTGGCGCTTGTTGCTAGAAGGGGGGGGAAATCCCATGAGCGGAGAGATTCAACCAATTATTGTGTTTGGGACTAAGCCTGAGGGGAAGAGTTTCTCGTGGAGGATGTGAGCAATTTCTGTTCTCCCGAGCGTATTTCCCTTCTCATGAGCTTAGTTCTAGTGTCACCTTCCATTGGCCCTGTTTTGAAAGTTCTCCCCAAGGACAGGAGCGCCGCGATTAGCAAAGATATAGAGTTGACAATAAATAACATCTCACTAAATGACTCCATTTTTAGTGCTTCTTATCCATAGTCATAATATGATTAGTGCGTTTCTATGAAGTTCTCTATCATTCCTTTCGCTGTAATCTCCTCACTGACACCGCTGCATTTCACCGATCTCCGCGAGTGGGAAGTTTCTTTCAAAGCAGAACCTTGTGGATTCTATCCGCGATCTGCACACGTTCTGACGTGTTGAATTCCACTGCAGGAGCCCGCGAAGACTTGCCTCGTCCGGATCGCCGCGCAGCCCGCCGCGATTTGGCGGTGCAGCTCGCGAACGCAAAAAGTTCGTCGCCAGCGACCGCGTGGATCACGTTGACTTCTTTCATCAATTGTTTCTTGTTGTTTGTGCTATGCTTGACTAGAAATCTTCCTTTGGTGAGGAATTTACACAATTGCTTGTCAAGCGAAATAACAGTATAAGACACCGCGCAGGATATTCTGTAACCCTTCCAATCAGTGGTACAATGTGCCACGGGTGCGGTGTACTATGTGTACTTCTGATCGGCTGAGAAGGCATATTATGTAAAGCTGGCTTATTCCAGCACAGTTATTGTGAAATTCTGGGGCAGGCTATGTTGAAAAACTCCTTACCGACATTTGATGATATTTGAACAGATCAACAGGATGCACCAGTACGGTGTTCAGCTCGTGTTGGTTGTTAGAGTCAGTGTTCCCACTAAGGAACTGATTGAAAGAGGTTACTAAGTGCTCGCATGGATGACCGGCAGCAGAATATCGAGTCGGCTGTAGGACTATACGATCGCTTCGTTCTTTCCTGAAATTCCGTACCCATTAGCCGCTTTGGCGGTGCGTCACGCTTGTCTTACATCCTACTTGATAATCTCAGATACTTGAACGGGCTCCAGGGTCACAAAGCGAATCACGAGAACCCAGGTGTATCTATCGCTTTGTTATTATCTTCCTCGGCTTATCCCTAGAACTTTGCTGACACCACCTTGTTTGTCCCAGTTATCCGCCTAAGACCCCCTCCCCCACTTCCCTGAGTATGCTTGTGAGTTTCGCTGTGCTCTCTCAGATATGTGCTGGACTCGGCTTTGCTTTCTCGATGGCCAAGGCAACGCCGACAGTGTTCGTACGATTCCGCTGAAAAGGTTAAACATACAGACTAATCTGCATAAGGAAGCTTAATCTCTTGATTCTCAAACGATAAAGTATGAACTGGACCATCGCGGACTCGCGCCTATTCCAAACGAGCTAAAATTGTGTATCACTTGGCCACCTAGAAGATGCAAGCGTCACGCAAGTGTCACGGAGTCCAGAGAAGAAATGGCTACGTAAGAAATGGCTTGGGCTCGTTTATGTTTCGCTGAGAACACTAACGGCGTCAGAGCACTCTTTGCATGATCTTTTCTAATTTCCCTCAAAAAATTGGGCAATTGTGCCGTGATTGCCCGCGGCATAAAACAGGCGTGAAACAAAGACGCCCTACATAGCATGGAATGTGGGCCCTCCAGGATCTCGAATCATGGGACGCCCTTTCCTTTCATGAGCCTTTCAAGATACCTTATTGTAACAGCAATTTTCTTGGTAGAACGGGGCCCTTGCTGGCGCTGAACGGTTAGCTTGAAACACTTGCACAAGCACTCCGAGGGAGCTGCGGTTGCCTTTCTAGGGAAGGGGAAGGTAGATCGCATTCGCTGACGCCAGATATTCCAACAAACTGATCACCACTCACCTCTCCTTTTCTTCCACCGGCATGCGAGCCAGTCGAGTAAGTAGTGAACTATGAACTTACCAACTTCATGTTGATAATGAGATATTATTTTTTCCTGTTTGAACGTATTGTGATTATTTCTGATGATACCACACACTTCTACATCTCAAACGTTTTTATTGCACAGTGAAAACTTTAGCACGCATACATCCCTTCAGAGGGTGTTAGACTTTGAGACCAATCACTAGCGAGTCGCGCACTGACCACAAGGTCTGACGTCTGCCTCAATGCACCGCTCACTCTTGTGTATATTAAAATGATACTGATAAATGACTAGACAACTGACTAGACGCGATAAACAGTCTGATCTAATTTCATGTCTCGAACAGAAGACTGCTTCAGCCCCATCTGGTCCATCTCTCACTTCTGAAAGTTGTCATTTTTTTCAGGACTCCCATGATGTCCCAAAACTACTTGCGCCAACTTTCAAAAATTCATTAGAAGAAGGTTTATTGGTTATTTTCATGTCGCGCGCTACAGAATAGTTGCAGGTAGGTTCTCTTGTGAACTGCATCGTTATTGGGGTAAAACTGCCAGTATCTCTGAGATGGCGAGAGGTGATCCAAGGTGACCTGCGATCATTCGCGTGCGCGAGCAAGAGACTGCATCTTAGGACATTGTTAAATTTCTTGATGTTCCCGTGAACACAGTAAAGGTGGCCAACAAACGATGCAGGAGAATAAGAACACTCATTCACAAGCCTGGACAAGGAAGAATGGTCAGCGTTTCCACGGATAGAATGAAATGTTTGGTTAGCAATCCACGGTGCTCCATCAGAAGGATGGCGAGGCCGCGAAATTTATCGAAGTCATCGATGGGGCGCTATTACATGTAGAAGTGCGGCTTCATTCTGTTCAGCAACTAAACAGCAGATAGGCAAAAAAGTTTCAGGGTTACTAACGCGCTCCACTGGCTAAACGCGACCATTCATCGTTTTTTATTCTGACAGGAAATATTTGCTGTGGAGCCGGTGTTGAAAGGCCAAAGCAATCACATTCTAGTTAGAATATCGGGAGTGCCATCTCACGAGGAAAGATTGTTGAAGAACGGCTAACTCGGCATCAGTAATGAATTGGGTGTGAGTCGCGGCCAATGGTGAGATGCCGTTGAATTTTGCCGATTCATGTGTGATGATGATCAGCAAGGACGTGCGTACTAGTGAACGTATTGAAGCCTTGATCCAACCCCTTTTTGGGAGCAAGCCGTGGTGTTGCCAGCAGGACAGTGCTACAGCCTATGGGGCCAAGCTCGTTCAAGGCAGGTGCGAGCTGCGAACTGCCCGACTTCGTCGCCGCGAGGAATGGCCTTCTTGCTCCCCTAATCTTAATCACTGAACTCTCAGTCTGGTCCGTGATTAAGAGCAAGGCATGTCGAGCTCGTCGTATGAATCTGCAACCATTGCAAGCAGCATCAAAGGAAGCCTGGGAAGAATTGGATAAGGAACACCTGCGTGCAACGTGCGAATGGTGCAAGAAGAGACTCCGGGCCTGTATTCGTGCAGGTGGAGGACATTTTGAAATCTGGTTGTTGCATGTTGTTGTGTATGATGTTAGTATAATTATATTCGGATTCAATTGTCATTCTGTGTCCAGCAGCTCAAAAAACTTTGCAATAAGTAATTTTGGGACATCCCTTGTTGCTGAGCTCGAGTTTGGCAGTAAATTCAGTTCTGAATGTTTGAATTTGATCGCATACACCCTCACAGCAGAACATGCCATTTAATAATTTTCGGAACAGGGCACTTCTAGTACACAAATTTTAGGTCGTTTTGAGAATGGAGCAATTCGCAAAGTCTGACACTGGTTTTGCTGAGATTCACATCAGTGCATTGCCCGGATGTCGTTCGCAACAAATTCGCGTGGTAGAAAAATACGGTGATGCATGCCCACCTCGATCAAGTCTTATAAAGCCGGTGTCAGACTGCGAATCAAGCGATATGAGCAGTGCGCCAGTGATTTGTAAAAGTGAGAAAGGGGGAGACCCTCTTTAGCACATTCACTTTCGCCACTGGGTCTTATGCCTAGCGGTTCGTATGGCGTCAGCATGAGAATAGGAGAATCGACATGGGGAATAAATGTACCCCCCTTACCGATTTTTACCATTCACCATCTTCCACAGTCAATGGCTATGCGATGGCGCTAGCGTTTTTGGCGATGCTGAGCCAGATTCTGCTTCGCAATCGCTAGGTTTGTAGTACAGGCTAAGGTATGGACTTCTAGATGCATAGGCATTTCCATTTTCGTACGAAACTTCATCATTTCTTCCTTCCTCCACGTGTCACTGGAGCTTCACGGGGGGGGAGCATTGGGGGAGATGATGGCTTCGGGTTTTTGTTCACAGAGGTTCTAAGCTATCAAGGAGGTTATCCATGCTATATTGGTTGCATTCTTGTAAATGATATTTCATATGGTTCACCTATTTACAGATTACGAAGCGCTGCTCAGCATCAGTCGACATGCATAGCGTATTTTCGATTGAAATATGAGGACTACAGCGGGATTGACTACGGTGTTGAGTATTGTGACAGTCATAGCGATATAGAACGGTGCCCGTGAGCCGCTAATCGTGGCAGGTAGAATATAGAAGAAGTTGCTGGCGCAGAATTGTATCACACAGATCGCCAAGAACTGGGACACCTGAAAATGCAAGAATATTTCTAATCTATGAGTAGATAGAGAAGGGAAACTGAATTAGTGGTCAATTTCAACCGCACCTTTTGGAATATACCACGACGGACTACATTAATCGGTTCATAAAATCGCCTCAATTTGATGCTTACCTCAGGACTGAGCCTTAAAGAGAGGACGGACCTGCGCTCTCTCGCCACTCTCAAGGCTTAGTCCTGGATAAGCAAACCAGCCCTTTTGGCGGAGCTGCTGGACCTAGCTGCACCACTTCGTCATCACTCTCCTACCGTACCGACCGAGTTCAAGTAGTCCGTCGACCTCGGGGACCCCATCCCCTCCCCAACATTCAGCATACGGCTCCAGCAGAAACGCCAAAAGGGCTGGTTTGCTCACCTCAGAAAGTATGAGATGTTAGGAAGCGGATGTTCAAGTGAGTGCTTCTGTTCTGCTCATTTTGTGCAACTTGACCAACTTCGACGATGACTGAAGGCTGGGGGAAGGAGGAGTAGACATGTTGACCGCTTGAGCGAGTCTCAATATGCTGGTTTTGATGCTGAGGGGTGTTCACTCCTTAGTTGCTGCTCCATCAGATGGAGTCACATCATGAGAAAGAGTGTGATTTTTCTAATGGATTAGTGTACCACAAGACAGTTCCTGAGCGATGTGTTGACACGTGCTCCCAAGATACAGCAGCGAAGAAATAATAAGGAGAAACGTTCTATAGTTCACAAAACAATACCCGGTCTACCCTGTCGATTTCGACGCTCGAGAGCCTCATCGGTGTTGACGCCACCAACATGATCGCTCCGCTCTGACTCTGCTGAAACGCTTTTGTCGTTCGGTGAGGAACCAGTAGCTGGGTAGCACGGAGGGCGGACACAGCAGCTAGGGGATTTGAAACCGCGGGTAAGGCCTGTTAAGCGGCTACGGGCAACCTTTTACGCGAGAGTGTAGCCTTTCATGCTCTAAAGGTCTAGTTTCATTCTGTAGTTCACCTTACACCATACACCCTTCCTTGGCATCCAGTTCTCAATGCCACCTAGCTTCAAGCAGGCTCTATCCCAAACAACCTGTGGGCACAGCCCCTACCCAGAACCCCTTTGAAAAGGCATGCGCTTCCAGTTTCCCTCCAGAGAATTTTGTTCAGCACATGACACTTCACAAGTGTAAAAGTCGTGAATCCTTACTTCTACGAAACCTTCGTTCTCTTTTTGCAGACAGCTATCTTCACCTCTGAATATTTGTAGTAATCGACAGGAGTTAGAACAATTAGTGCATTGTTAACTCTTTTCCTCTCCTCCCTAAAATTTACCGATTCCCTCAAGGTCCACAGGAACTCTCAACAGCTCTCCGGACGTAGGCTTCGAATAAGCTCCCGCTCTCGTGTTCCTCGCATCATGGCTCGTGCGTAAGAGTGGCCTTGAAGCAGACCCCCCCTCTTGATGGCAAAGATTGGTCAGTGGAGTGACAGAATTCCGTGGGGTTCAGAAGAGATGCAATCTTGAAGGCGTCGGAATAAAACTCACCAACTTGATTTCTGCATTCCTGCTTGAACCCGCCTCGACAAACCACTGACGGCTTTTTTGTAATTGAAATCGCATTTTGAGAACATGAATATAAATGAGTAGGTACAATATGAAGTTCACACCGGGAAATGCGTACGCAGCATAGGAGAGCAACACAGCGAAAAAGCCACAGTTGCTGAAAGGAATTTTACTCTGAGTTCTTTCCACTCTAGGTCGTGCCATACATTCACTGTGCTCATAAAATAAAGGCCGTGTGAACGACAATTTGCAATATTCATGAAGAGGAGGAAAAAGAGATGGTCGATTGAACGACTTCTCTACACCTGACAAAAGCGCAAAAGCGAGACAAAATGAATCACGCATCCCAGGAATTATCGCTTCTGGCCGGTGTCAGACATTGCGAATTCGTGATCGCTAGAGAATACGCAGGGAAGAGCAATACACCAGCGGTTCGGACGATGTACCAGCGAATTGACATTGTTTGAAGTTGCGGGAGTTCCTCTCGTTTGCACGTTGACTCTAGGCACTTCCACGGACTCCCATGCCCTCTCGCTCTCCCATGGGTCGCTTGATCCTGGGATTCTGGGTCACGTGCAAACGGTAGACTCCGACACTTAATCGAATACTGTCGAGTCGCTGCACAACATTGTCAAACCGGCTGAGCATAATTGAATTCACCGTGTGCAAAGTGGAGATATCACTAACGGCCCCGCCTGTTTAACCAAGTGGTGCATCGTTCGTACCCGGTTCGTAGCCATCAGCGGAATTCGCAAAGTTTGTCTCAGCCCTCAAGAGGGTTACTGTAGGCGCACGAATGTCCACCATCCAAATCTATCCTTGTTGCATAGACCTATTAAATTCGCATATACTGAAATAGCTTGCATTCACTCTAAGACGAACCTTCGATTCAGGGGACAGATTGATGTGGTTATTTTTGTGAAGCGACTCACCTGCAATCATATGTGTATGCGAGCGCGAACGGATCAGTTCTTTTATAGCAGCCATGCAAATTCATAGCCGTAGTAGTTGTTATTGCAAGTATCCATGGCAAAGCAGCAAAACAACACAATGGATAGTAAGCAGCTTTAAGTCGGGAGTGTACCTAAACGTCTGATAACATCGTGAAGTCCAAGTTTCAGCAGTGGGTGCTTTCATTGCATGGCAATGTCTCTTCGTTTTTTCACCACCTGCACCACGCGTTGTCCTGTCCTGTTTGATCATCTATTTGCTCGAGCGGGCGCCAGCAACATCTCGCTCCTTCGTCCGTCATGCCAGTAGCTCGAGAGGGTCCCTTTCTCGCTCGAGGACACTTACCTTTCACTTTTCATCTAGGCTTTCTTGGAAGTCTGACCATCGGGCCGGCGGTCGTCCAGGTGTTCGTTTGACGTCCCGAGGGATCCAGTCGGTAACCGCTCTGGTCCAACGGTCATCGCAAAATCGCATGACGTGTCCGGCCCACCTTATCTTCGATTCCTTGGCGAAAACGGCAGCGTCCCTGATCTTGATGCGCTGGCGCACATGGTCGAGCAACGGAGTTCGCTTTGAATTTGCTATATAGGGTGACTCCAAGCATCGCCCTCCCGACAGCGCGTTGGATATTCTGACCGCATGCTCATCCTGCGTGCGGGCAGTCCAAATTCTGAGGCGTAAATTAGGGCAGATTTGAAATGCTGACTCTCCTCTGCTTATCTGGATGGAAACGCATGTCGTCCCTCACAAACATTGCCAACGCATGATCAATTTTCTAGATTCTAAATATTCTCTTTCAAAATCTTGACTTTGTAGGGAACACGCTCAGTTTCCCTTCCAGGCCCAGCCACCAGTGATGCGTGATGATTGTAGCCCAAGGTGGCATAGGCTGTGACTTCGGCCTAAGGTTATAGTTTACACACTGTCTCGTGCTCAAGGCTAAGGTGAGGGTTAGGCTTTGAGCATATAACCCAGTGAGTAGTGGCGGCATAGGCTCCACTCAACTATTAGCGCACATGGCTTACAAATGAAATGGTCTTTGAGCAGAATCGACTTCTAAGTGTAGCTTAAAAATTACCTTGTCAAAATAAAAGAATGCAAATCGATCAACGGCAATGACCGTAGTCGTGAGCATTAGTGTGAGATAACCAAGTGTGTCCAACGTTGAAAGATAGACATTCGTGGGATCTATGAAGCGAATTTGGAATAGAATAGCGGGTATCAGCGTGAGAACATTCGTTACAGCACC